TAATGGCTAGAGTAATAAAAAAATGTAATAATAAACTATCTTTACTATAGTAGCCTCATGTAAATTTAATATTAGGTGCACTGGCATGACCTGATTGTACACCTCATCTAAGAGATCTGCACCCAGTGTTAAAATAACAACTAATTGATACTATTCTGCTTTCAGTAAAGAAATAAATGCAAATGAATGAATAATCTGGTAAAGAATGTATGAAGACTAATACCCCACTCTGTCAAAATGAAATACATTCATCATAACAGCATTCTTTCCTTATAGCCTTCACTAAAAACTCTTACATCCACTAACAAATTTGCATACTCTGAATAGTTAGTCTAGGTGGAGAGGATTTTTTTCCCCCCTAAAGAAGAAGTGTTGTTTCTATAACTTAAAGAAAATAATTTTTCCAATAAAATACACTATCTTGGTGAAATTCTGTAAGCAATCAGCAGGCAAATTAGACTATGTCTGAGATGTAGAAGATGAACTTGACTGACAAGCCTTTGCAACACTTTTGCCTGTTCACTTCCAGTTTTGCACATCTTGTAGCTTACCTTTTTTTCCTAAATCAACTTTTAACCAATCTTTTCACAAATGAGTAGTCTAAAAATCAAACATACACTACTTTTAATCAGAGCTCCAAAGAGGTGGAGAAAAATCTTTCCTGTCATAATAAGAAAGACAAATCTGTTTAGAACTGTCTTGTATTCCCTGAGCACGCAGCAAACTACTTGAAGAGTAGGTAGTGGTAGAAAAGCTTTGAAGAACTTGTACTCTAATAAGAAACTTTTCAATGCTACAGATAATGACCGTGCTCTTTTAAAAAAAAAATCCTCACAAGTGACAGAACAAAGAAATGTAAAAAAGGGAAGCATTATACTATTCTTACGCCAATTTTACAGCTGGGATAATGATTCACAGACAGGTTAAATAGCTGTACAAATATCTTCCTTAATTCTCTCTCATAGTGGTCATTTCTCCTTTTCAAAATGTATTTAGCCTTTTTTTCCTTCCTGAAGCACTAGCATGCATTTTTATTCCCAACAGTGGTTATAAAAAAAATAGCAGTGTGAGATTAAGTTTCTTCTATAAACATTCTCTCTGCTCTTCAATGAGGATTTCCAAGTTGCAAATAATATTCCCCTACATAACTTTCCAGAAATGCCAAATCTAGAGCCAACATGACTTGCCAAAATTCCAGAGAAGTCACTCTTGTTGTTGACGGACAAACCTGAAGATCTTTTAATTTGTTTTCAGCAGGCTACTCCAGCTGAAGACTGCCAGCCTGCCTATGTAAGGGCACTTGCTGAAGAATTACTGTGGTCTACTGTAATTGAAGTACATAACCTTTGTTTTTTGCTGTTGGGTTGTTTTGGTTTTTTGGTTTTTTTGTTTGTTTGTTTGTTTGGGTTTTTTTTATGTTTCTTTCTCTGGTAGATTCTATTTCTGTTTAGCCTGTTACAAAAGCACCTGAATTCTTTTTGGACATACACTCATTAAGACACGTAAAGAAAACATGATATATACCACTTTGTGATACTAACCATAGATACACTTATTATTGATATCATTATTTCAGATGGATATCGCTTTAGTTGTAGACCATTACATATACCTTACATGTCTTCCACAAACTAAAGGAATAGATTTTGGAAGACAATATATTGTTCTTTTAAGTGTTATATTCAGTGAGTCAACATTGACTTAATTGGAAAACATATAAAAAATCAAAGTGCTGTTTGGCTGCATGAACTATGTGTGTAAAAATATAGTTCAAAATGTATCACGGACTAAAAAACCACAGAGCAAATGACAGACCATTGTTTTTTGTAAACCCCCTTACAAACAAGCATAAGGAATAAATTTTGTATAGCAGGTAAAGCAAATAAAATGAGCCAAGATTTGAACCTTGCTAAATTCTTAATCAATTTTATTTTTATTCCCTTATACTAAAATATCTTGGATGCCATATGGTCTAGATGGAAATGGAAAGTGATAACAGAGATTTTGTCCTAAAAGTATAAAGAAACCACATGGTCATGGAAGAGAGTAGTAGAATAAATTTCAGGAAGCCATTTATTGCTATTATTACCCTCATGTTTATTATTATTGCCATTACTGCAAGCCAGTACCAGATACACCCATGGCATTGCTATGAGAATTCTGTCCACTCTGTTCGTAAGTGTTCAGAGACAGCTCCATAGTCTCTCAGGAGATCTATCTATTCCAGTACTTCATTAGCCCCACTGTTGGCAAACTTTTTCTGCAGTCTGATTTAAGCCTCTCTAAATGGAATTTGTCCCTATTACTTCTTGTTATACCAAAAAAATAAGCATGGAAAATAGATATAAAAATACTCCTTTCCTCTTTGCAGGAGAAAGGATGTGTTTAAAGACATCCTTACCTCCACTACCTGTCTCCTAGTCTGGACAGTCCCAATTCTTTACCAGTGTGGTCATGGGCCATTGTGGTGGTGCATCTCCCCCCCCCACCCCATTCCTCTCTCTCTTCAACGGCTTTACGATCTCAGGAATTCCAGGCCTCCGCTTTTGCGTACCGA